GGGGCTGGGATTGGTAGGGGGGAAAAAAGAGGGGGGTTCTTTCTTTGGCGGGGCCCAACTCTTTGGGACAAAAATGTGGGGAGTTTAACTGAAGGGGTGATTCTCCGCCTAAACCCCCCCCTTCTTTAGAAATCCTTGGTCTCCCCTACCCTGCTTCCCTCACTGCCCCTTTCTCCTTGAGAATGCTCTTTCAAGGAAAGGGCTTGGAGAAGTCCTGTCTCAGGTTCTGCTTCTAGGACCTCTCATCCCAAGGAAAGCACTTTTCTAGCTGTGTGTGATGTATTAGACATTCTAGTCACTACAGCAAACACATCGCCAAGTTAAACTTCTGTGGTTTAGCATAATAGATATCTCCACTTGCAGCCGATCGACTTGGTCAAGTATTTGGGGGGAGGGAGGTGTGCTCTGCTTTACTCGCACTTTCAGGCACTGAGGCCAATGGAGGCTGTGCCATCTTCTATGTGTGGCTCCAAGGTCACCCTTGATGGCCACAGAGATTGGGGCGGGGGAGAAGCGGGGAGAGAAATGCACTCTTGCTTCTTAATCACTCAGGCTCAAAGTGACACCATTCATTTCTGCCCACATTCCATTGGTGGAACTAGTCACATGGTCCACATACAGGCTAGGGTGGCTGGGAAGTGTAGTCCCTACCTGGGAAGTCACCACTTAGTAAGAGCTCTACACCCTGAAAGGATCATGGACCTTTGGTGGGCAGTTATCTCTGCCACACTGTGTGACCTTGAGCAAGTTATTTTAATTTTCTGAGACTCAATTTCTTTACCTATAAAACTGGGCAATTAACAGGATCCCCCACATAGTTGTGGTCATAAATCAATGAGTTGAAACATACAAAGTGCTTGGACTAAGGCTTGGACAGAATAAGGGCTCAGAACATTAACTATTTTTATTATTTGTTGAGAATCCACTTTGGGTCATATATATCCTCACCACCATCCATGATATGCAGATAATCATTACACCTGCCTTACAGAGAAGTAGGGTGAAGTTCACAGATGGGAAGTGATTGACTTGAGGTCCTACAATTAGGGAGCAACAGAAACGGGCCAGGTAGCCAACATAATTTTACACTAAGGACTGTCAGGCTTTTGCTAAACAGCCCAGAACCCAATCTTGGCATTTGCCATTGGAAAGATGCCAGGATCCCAGGTAGGTTGCCTTAATCTCCTGACTTCATCTACCTGGCTGGGTCCCTGACAGCCTTTCCACTCCTGTCTTTATCACTCTGCCTCTTAGCCACTACAGTCTAGCCCTGCTTTCTTTCTAATGCTCACATAAGCCAAGCTTGACCCCACCTCAGGGCCCTTACTCCTGCTCTCCGCTCTGCCTGGAATACTCTTCCAACCTGTCTTTCCATGGTAGGCTCTTTCTTATCACTCTGCTCTCAGCTCAAAGGTCACTTCTTCAGGGAGGCCCTCCCTGATCCCAGTTCAGTCACTTACTTTCGCATCATGAGCCTGACACTCAGTCATATCTAAGATTTTTTGTGTGCTCAGTGACTGTCTCTCTCATTAGGCTGCGATCACAACAAAAGCAAGGTCCTCATTCTCATTACCATATTTTTTCGTGTATAAGACACCCCCATGTATAAGACGCTCCCCACTTTTCCAACCTAAAATTAAGAAATAGATATTGTAAATATTTTGCTGGTTTTCCTCTTTAAGCCTTTTTCTTTTTTGGCATCTTAAGATGTTCCACAGTCTGATCATACACTCAGTGGGAGGAGGTCCAAATTGTCTCGCTGCAGCTCTATTTCCATGCTCTTTTGCATTGCTGATTATATTCAGTTTGAGTTTTGCAGAGTAAGACAATTGCTTACAGTATTTATCTTTTTTATTTTTTGACATCTTTATGGGCTCAGAACGCTCTGGTCCCTGTTGCATCTGCACACTCTCCACCTCCACCTCCAATTACGGCATCAGCTGATGTCAGTAACAATAAGGCTCATGACTTGAGGAAGCCAGTTTGACAAGGTATGGGCAGTTATGCACCTGCGCACCTGCGTGGCTCCCTCCTCAGCTTACTTCTGTGTATTAGACGCCCTTCCAAAAAAAATAGCGTCTTATACATGGAAAAATACAGTAGTCTTTCTGTATCCCAAGCAACCAGGACAAAGTTCTGGCATAAAGGTCAGCCTCAGTAAATATTTGTTGACTAAAACAAGACATTTAATGGGTGACCTGTTACCCTATGTACCTCTTTGCCCACCTTCTTTCCCCTCTTCCTCTAGGGACCCTGCTTGAGGCCACGCACAGCTTCAGAGGGCGCCATTCACAGAGCAACAATGTGAATCATCAGGGAGGAGGCGGTGTTTCAAAAGTGCACAACTTATATAAATGTAGTGATGGCTCTGTTGCTATCTTTCCCTCCCTTATATTTATTCATTCATTCATTCACTCAATCAAAAACATCTATTGAGCACCCACAATATGCAGAGTTAGTGGTGCAGACACAGTAGGAGAGAAGAGAAACACCTATGTGCCTGTGTGGCAAATGTGAAACTTGCAAACAAAAGAAAAATAGAAGGTATAAAAATGTCAAAAATAAGCAGACCATTATGAATTACACATTCATTTCTCTTTCTCCTCTGCTATTGTTCTCAGCCTTTCTTTTCAAACTTTGCAGCCTCTGCAGTCACTGACAGATGCCCTATACCCGTTCCCTCTCCCTCCTACCCAGTGGGCTCGAACTGATTTGTAGACACCTGCAAAGCCAATTATTAAATATTTAGGGATTTGGCAAGCTGGTTGTCAAACTGTGCATGGCTTCAAAATCAGACGTGGTGGGAGCCTTTGCACCACAGTAATGAGCCAGCATTATGAGATGAGGTTTGTTGATGCTGTTTTTCCAAAAAGCTGGTTTTATAGCACACCACTGTTCCCATCTGTTTCTAGCAGAAAAACTTTGCTTTGTCAAAGAATGTTCTAGTTCTTCCATAGCAATTCCATTCCCCCTGCCATACTTCAGCCCCTTCCTGGGTGGCAGGAACTGGGGACTCTAAGCCTACATTGTGGAAGGAGAGGAGAGAACAGAGGAAGACAAAAGATAAGTAAAAGAAAAAAAGAGAAAGCATGAGGGAAGGTCATGAAATAGGGTATTTGAAAAAAGCAATATTGGGAGGAAAGAGAAAGAAAAGAGAAGTAGGCATCTGTGGAGAGGCAGAGGTTAGGGTAGAAAAACCATAGAGGCCAGCAAAGACCCATCACACAATGTCCTCACAGGAAGTTCAGCCATTTCCCCACCTGGGGCCAGAAGGTTGCCAGGTTGCAAGGACAAATGAGGAAACTACCTTTGCAAACTACCCTGAAACAGTGTGGGAATGGGATCCACACCAATTGAGGCTGGGGTCAGGATGCCTCAGTTTTTAACTGGGAGCCTGCACAACTGAGTCAGAGAGAACAGAGGGGCCTTGAGTCCTGGGTCAGAGGGAGGAGGAGGAACTCGGGTTTCTGAGCCTTTAAAGTTGGTGATACTCCGAGTGTGGGCCCAGGCCTTCTTTAGCAAGGCCCTCCACTCCCCACCCTTTCCTGGCTGCCCTGGGTGAAGAGAAATATAAAAGGGCTCCGTTTCCTGGGGGAAGAACAGGAGCAAGAGAATTCTAGCTGCCCCGACCATGAGCTCCATTCTGCCAGCCCTCCTGGGCCTCACCCTCATGCTGCCCCGTGAGTGAAAACCCCAACTTGGGAGGGGATTTCCTGGGTGGATGGGCTCAGATGGATTTTCTGTTCCCACCTCAGGAGTGCAGGCCCTGACCTGTCAGTCAGGAATACTGATGATTGGTAGGAAAACATCAGAACTGCCCTTGGAGTGGAAAACAGGCGAGGAATTCTGCATGGATGGCTGGGATTGCCAAGATTCGCTGATGCTCATTGAGAATGGTGAGAAAGGCCTCAAAGGCCCCAAGCCTGACCCCACCTTCACCTGCACCAGGATATCCCTCCTTCTGACCAGGAGACTCCAAAGACTCCCTCCTCTCATGCCAGGAGCTGTCCCCTCCCCAGCAGGAGGAAGCCCTCAGCAGCCCAGTTGCCTCCTTTTCCTCCTCTCCCCCAGCCACGATGAAGACTCTCCCTCTAGCACCCCGGAGTGCTGATCCTCACCTGGCCTGTCTCCTTTTTCATCTAGGACCCGAAGTGTTCCTAGCACTCAGCAAGGGATGTACCCAGAAGGAGGATCATGACGCCCGTATCACCCAGCACAGGAAAGGCCCTGGCCTCTCTGTCATCTCCTACACCCATGTGTGCCGCCACAAGAACCTCTGCAATGACCTCTCCTCCACCCTCCCAGTCTGGACCCTGCCCACCTCTGCAGGTGAGAACAAGGAAGGAGAGGAGGAGGAGGAGAGGACAGGAGCTAGGGCAGGAGAGGAGCACAGAAGGGTTGTTCATTTAGAACCCCTCCCTCCTATCTGGCCTGTGCACACTTCCCAGGACTTCCGTGCCTGACACAGCTTCTTCAAACAGTCCTGGGGCAGGAAACTGGGCTGCTTTTCTGAGTTCAACCCCTCCTCAAATTCTGGCGATGACCTGAACCGGGGCCAAACTCCTTTCTCTATACTGTTGTGCTTGGATCACTCATGTTTCATTAAAGTTTGGTTATATCCTCTTAAAGTGAAATTGGCCTGTAGCACGCCACTGTCCTTTTCTATATCATAAACTGTTTTAGAGCGGGGGTGTGCTTTGTGAATCTCTGATCTTTAGGGCATCTTGTCTGCTTGAATTGTGTAGTGGAGGTTGTGGGTGAAAGCTACCCTGGTTCCTCCAAAGGCCCCCCTCCTGCCTCAGTCACCTCTGCCTCTCCCAGGTCTCATTCCCCCTGACCCCCCCGCCCCTTGATCTATCAGCAACCACTCCACTGCAATTTTCAGCACCCCAGGTCTACATGAGACTGAGGAGGTTGATGATGGGGCTACAAAAGCAAAAGGGATAGAAAGCACCAGATCCAAATGCAGAGCCTACTCAATCCTCCCTTCTTCCCTCTCCCCTCCCAGTCCCAGGGTCTGTGCGGTGCCCAGTCTGTTTTTCTGAGGAAGACTGTGAATCTGCAACAGAGATGACCTGCCCCGTTGGGCACACGCATTGCTACAATGGGGTCCTGCACCTCAGGGGAGGTAAGCTGGGACATCGGGGTCCCTGCTGGCCCTGAGGGTAGCTGAGGGCTGGAGCTCAGAGGAGGGTGAGCCTGACTCCTCAGGGTTGGAAAGTCCCAGTGGTGGCATCTCACTCTTCCCCACTCTGCCTGGCCTCTTTCCACAGTTGACATCTTCACCGATCTGAAAGTCCAGGGATGCATGTCCCAAGAGGCTGCAACCTGCTGAATGAGACTCGGAAAATCGGGGCCTTGTCTGTGAGTGAAAAGTGTGATTCTGATGGTGAGTTCCTTGTCTGGAAGATGAGACTGTACCCACCCTTCAGCATTGGGGTACAATGACCCTTGTGAAAGTCAGACGTGCAAACACATCCAACCAACACCAATACCCACAAATAATTTAGAAGTTTATTACTCACTCAGTCATGCAAAAAGTGAGAAATTGTCCTGATAGGCGCCATGGAGTGAACATACCAGTAAGAGGTGCCCAGCTGAAGGGAAAGTCAGGCCCAGGGGACAGATATAGGACAGCTGTCTTGGCTGGCTGTGTTGCCGATCACTTTATCCATTGTGTGTGGAAGCGAATGCAGGGTGCATGCTTCTCATGCTGGAAGTGATTCATTACCTTCAGTTCAATTTCTCCACACTCTTGACCTTGAGTAGCCCTAGATCCCTGCCCTCCCCTCTTGCAAGAGCCAAGCAGAGACACTGGGAGGGTCCCCACTCAACCACACAAGCCCAGCCCTTACCAATACACCCAACTGAGAAAGAGACTGGCCTGGAGTATCTCAATGAGAAGCACCAATGGCAGGGAGGAGAGTGGGAAGAGGGCCTTTCTTGTCTGAGACTCAGCTTCCTCATCCACCCACAGCACCCAGTCCTTAAAGCGTCAAGGTGAAAGTTCAGTGAATGCAGCAACATTCCTCTGTGTGCTTGGACTCTCTGACTAGACTAGGAGCCTTGAGGACAAGGCCTGGATGTCACTGACACCAAAGGTTTTAGCCTGAGGCAAC